TTTGTCTGTTAGAACACTAGCACCAGCCCGGCCTGGATAAAACCAGAACCAAGCAGGGACTATAGAAACACCTAGTACTGGCTAAAACGCTAAGGAGAATAGAGAAGAGCCAAATAGGAGTGGTGGAAACGGGGATAAAGATACACTTCAGTTAAACAGTATCCAAATCCTCTCATTATAGAAAATAAACTCAGATCCTCATACTGTATGTTTGCCTCATGAATCCAAGTTCATTGGTCGCAACTGGAAAATATTGTTTATATTTTAGTTTAGTTATTACAAATCATACAACATACAATGTATATGCAGCCTTTTAATTAAATGGGTTGAATATAATAATAATAATAATAATAATACATCGGTTTTATATAGTGCTTTTCAAAAACTCAAAAACGCTTCACAATTCAGGACACACACACGTTTAGACAGACACACAAAACTAAAAATCTAAAAGCAGGATAAAAGAGTATAAAGTTGAAACTATGAGTCGTATGCTTGGAGGAAGAGGTGAGTTTTTAGCTGTTTTTTGAAGGAGTTTAGTGAGTCCTAGTTTCTGAGATGAAGGGGGGAGAGAGATCCAGAGAGTGGGATCAGAGATGGAGAAAGCTCGGTCCGCCAAGGTTCGGTGCTTGGATTTGACAGTAGGAGTGAGGAGATATGAGTCTGCAGATCGGAGTCGACGGGAGGGACTGTAGGGCTGTAGAAGTTCATTATAGCGAGTGGCCCTTGTACAGGTGAGGGTTCGTGATTACCCTGATTACCTCCTTAAAAGGTTTTTTGTCCTATTGGAATCGTTCAACGTCTTCACAGATAATAAAATGTTTCGAACCCTCCAATTTAAGGTACCACCGCACGATGCACCTTCATGTTAGAATGCATCGTCAGCCGCATGTTATCTCCGAGCACTTTGTTGGCATGAGGGACATTTTCCAGAGAGATCAGTAAAGTCTTTGATATTATGATAAAGTATAATGATATCCGCCTGTTTATTGCCGTGCTTTGAGGTCAACAGACTCCAGACCTGGCTGTTTGTTGCACATCAGATGAGCTTTAAAGACAGAGGGCAGAGCGGGCCACGGTTCCCGGGTTGAGTTTTTATAGAGTGGCGGTCTGATGTCGGTGCCAGCAGCGTAACCGGAGCAACATCCACACTCACACAACAAAGGCTCTCCTCCTCGGCTCATAAACACTCTGCTGTTTCTCTGTGGAGCGTCCCAAAACAGCATCCATCAACCTGTTTAATGTACAAGACCCGCTGAGCCAGATATACTGTGTACGAGACCTGTTTTACATCACCATAACGGAGATGACACACACACACACATTCACAGTAGCAGAGAGAAGACTATAGATCAGTTAATAACATATGTTTTAGAAAAATTCAGCCACAGGAAGTCCAGTTTGCACTGTGGTTTGATTTGGTTTTACTCAGAAGAAGACACACATTTCCTTGATTCAGGGAGTCCGGACGATTCAGGCACAGACCCTCACAAAATCCACACAACAGACTTGCAACCCCCACACTCCGAATAACATTTAGACCAGTAATGATGTTAAGTGTTACAATAATAAAAATAACAATAATAATAATGCATCAGTATTGAATAATATTATATAGCGCTTATATAGCAACACTCAAAGTCGCTTCCCATGTCATAGTTCATTCACTCCAAAGACAAACTACTACTGTAGCCACAGCTGCCCTGGGGCACACTGACAGAAGCAACTGGTATGTGCAATTGGCCCCTCCGACCACCACCAACTATTCACAGACACAGAGACAGACAAGAGACAGACACACACACACACACCACCGTCAAGTGGGTGAAGTGTCTTGCTAAAGGACACAACAGTAGTGCGGCAATTTACAGCCCCACTGTGGCATCTGGTGATCCCCAAAGTCTCCCATCACAGTACTAACAAGGCCCTGCCCTGCTTATCTTCAGAGTTCTGACAGGATGTGGATTTCACCTGGAGGTATGGTCTGGTTTATTATATTAATTTATTTAATTCCAAATATGTTTTATATGTAGAAATGGCTAAAATGCAACACTTTCAACTGGAAATTATATTACATATCCTCTTGCGACCTCCATTTTAATGTCTTGACAGTGAGGTGAGTGTGGAATATTGAACCAATGAAGGGGTGAGGAGGCAGGAGAAAAGGATCATTTTTGACATGAAATCCAAAACACAAATGTAAAAAGTTAATTTTGTTGTTCCTATGCTTAATGTGAATGTTTTAAACATTACACATGAGACAAAATTAACCTTTTACATTTAACACAAAATGAAATCTAGTAAAACAAATTAAAAATCAGCAATTCAAACATGTGACAAATGTATTCATTATTTCCTCACTGTAAATAGTATTTCTGAATCCAATGTGAATTTGAATAATAACAAATCAAACAAATGAATAATTATTGCTATGCATATGCTTTATTTAATTATATCAGCCTAGAGTTTAGGAACTATGTCCCAAAACTGTTAGAGGACCGACACTGGGATAACATCTTCAAGAAAGCCACAAGTACCTCCTCAAAAATGGTTCAAAGTGTTGTTAAAAGACTTGGAACATCTTCAAGAAAGCAACGTATGCCTCCTCAAAAATAATTCAAAGTTCTGTTAAAACACTGGGAACACATCTTCAAGAAACCAATTCGTGTCTCCTCAAAAATGGTCAAAGTGTTGGTCCTCTGGGGTGGGCCTCCTTAGAAGGTGAAGGCCTTTCTCATCCTGGAGAAGAGCCGTGACAGCGCAGACTTGGGACGCTTCTGGAAGGATCTCAGTTCAGCGTTTATATGTTCCGCTGCAGCTGCTTCAAATGCAGCTGTGTCGTCCTCTCGAGCCGCCCTCAGGACTGCGTCTGCCGATCCATATTCTGCAGAGAGACATTTGGCGGCGGCTTTACCAACTTTCTCTAAGTTCTTCAGCTTCATCTGGCAGTTTTCATCCAACTCCAGCTGCTGCTTGATGCTGTAATGCAGGCGGGCACCCATTAGACTGGCGTTACGGTGGTCTTTGGATCCAGCCAGTTTGAACAGTTTTTGGGTGAGTGCGTTGGTGATGAAGTAGGAGCCTTTGAGGACAGTTGGAGAAATCCTACTTGGTTCAGTAAACGTGTCCGTTGATGAACTGCTTTCTGAAGACTCAGACATATCCTCAGTGATAATGTCAGGCTGTGACGTAGCACTAACCGTGTCATTGACCACTGTCTCTTGAGTCGTCAGCGTTGTTAAGTCTTCAAAAGTTCCAACTGTTTCTTCAAAGTTCGTGGTGTGATCATCTTTAGACTGATCAAGGACCTTGTGAACTGTTACGTCCTCGTTTTCAGTCTGTGCGACTTCTGGTGACTGTTCCTGGTCACTCAGAAGTGCTGCTTGTTCAACACCATCAGTAAAAGTATCTTTGAAGGTTTCTAGATACACAAACTCCTCCGGAGGTGTCTGAACCTCCTCCTCAATGTTATCTAAGAAAACCTCTGCTGCTTCGTCCTGAGCAGCAGCAGAAGACAAAACAGATGTGTCTTCTGTTGGGGACTGGATCTCCTCTGTCTGAAAGAAGTCGTCTTCAGCAACAGAATATTCTTGGTCCTGTTGTGACTCATCAACCTCCTCATGGACATCAGTCTCCATCTCTGGAGTTGTGCTGGCATCACGGGGAACATCACAAACCATTACCTCCTCACTTACAGTCTGTGTGAGTACTGGTGACTGTTCCTGGTCCCTCAGAAATTCTGCCTGATCAACACCATCAGTAAGAGTGTCTTCAGGGGACTCTACAAACACAAACTCCTCAGGAGGTGTCTGAACCTCCTCCTCAATGGCGTTCAGAAGTGCTGCTTGTTCAACACCATCAGTGTCTTCGCAAGTTTCTAGATATACAAACTCCTCAGGAGGTGTCTGAACCTCCTCCTCGATGTTATCTAAGAAAACCTCTGCTGCTTCGTCTTGAGCAGCAGCAGAAAACAAAACAGATGTGTCGTATTTTGGAGACTGGATCTCCTTCATCTGAAAGAAGTCGTCGACATGAGTCTCCGTCTCTTGAGTTGTGCTGGCATCGCGGGGAACATTACAAATCGTTACCTCCTCACTTACAGTCTGTGTGAGTACTGGTGACTGTTCTTGGTCCCTCAGAAGTTCTGCCTGATCAACACCATCAGTAGCAGTGTCTTCAGGGGACCCTACAAACACAAACTCCTCAGGAGGTGTCTGAACCTCCTCCTCAGTGTCATTCAGGAAAACCTCTGCTGCTTCGTCTTGGGCTGCAGCAGATGTGTCCACAGATGTGTCCTCTGTCGGGGACTGGGTCTCCTCTGTCTGGATGGAGTCGCCTTGAGCTACATTCCTGGTCCTGTTGTGGCTCGTCATCCTTGGGGACATCCTTAAGAACATCAGTCTCTATCTGCTGAGATGTGACGTCTTCTTTGGGTCTTGGCTCTGGCTCCTTGACTAAAAAGTTGTACCCAAACGTGTTGAGAACTTTGGAAGCCACATTCCTTTTAGCGTCCTTCTTGTCCAAGCCGAGTCCCACCGCAGTCACGTCCGCCACCGTGACCTGGACGTAGAAGATCCAAGGATTTGACTGTTTGTCCACGTCCACAATCGTGTACTTGGGAGGAATCCCTTTCATGTTCACCACGATTATATCAAGACAAGATATGGGGTTATCATCGTCTTTGAAGGTGGGAAGTTCTCTCCAGCAGACGCCAGTGCGTTTCTTCTTCTTCTTCTCGTCAGACGGAAGAGGAAGACGTCGCAGCTCTGGGAGAACTTGTTGAGCACAAAGGTGTTTAGCTTCTGAAGCAGTGGGTCCTTTAGCGTCTGCGCTAAAGTCACCGACTGTCATACGATATGTGAAAATGGCGTTGTGGATTGGTCCATCTTTCTGCACCATCCACAGCCTGGCTTCCATACCATGCTTCCTAGCTAGCTCAAAGACCTCGCAGACCTCATCTTTGTAGTTGATGTCAATCCTTTGAGGCAAAAACAAAGTGGATGCGTTAGAACTTTCCATCTTTGTAGAGTAGAGTGAACTCGAAAGGCTTATTGTGAGTAGTTTTGTATCAAACTTTATCTCGACCCTAAACCCGTCTCGAATCAAAATATTTTGACACCCTTCTGGGTCCATCCCCCTAGCCGTCTTTGCTGTCAGGCAATGACATCACAATAGAAGACAGTTACCATGGAAATTCTGTTGCCGTCATGACAATGGAACTCTTTCAGAATTCCAGAATCCCAGTGTATTCTAAATTGACAGTGGACCCATTTT